AACTAGTGTTAATAATAATTATAGCTTTCCTATACCACAACTAGTGTTAATAATAATTATATCTTTCCTATACAACAACTAGTGTTAATAATGATTATAGCTTTCCTGTACGACAACTAGTGTTAATAATGATTATATCTTTCCTATACAACAACTAGTGTTAATAATAATTATAGCTTTCCTATACCACAACTAGTGTTAATAATAATTATATCTTTCCTATACCACAACTAGTGTTAATAATAATTATATTTTTCCTATACAACAACTAGTGTTAATAATGATTATATCTTTCCTATACCACAACTAGTGTTAATAATGATTATATCTTTCCTATACCACAACTAGTGTTAATAATAATTATATCTTTCCTATACAACAACTAGTGTTAATAATAATTATAGCTTTCCTGTACAACTAGTTTTAATAATGATTATAGCTTTCCTGTACGACAACTAGTGTTAATAATGATTATAGCTTTCCTGTACGACAACTAGTGTTAGTATTAATCGTAGTTTCTTGTATAATAATGTCTGCTGATAATGGCCATTTTCTCCCGCATTTAGGTGTTGACAATGATTGTTGTTTCCTGTATAACAATTATATATATATAATGATTTTACTTTTGCTGTGAAACAAGTATGTGTTGTTAATATTCTAGTTTTCTTGTCGAACAACTAGTATTAATAATGATTATAGTTTATCCGTGTAACAACCAGCTATTATTATTTATCGTAGCTTCCTGACAATAGCCATGTGTTAATAACGAATGTAGCTTTGTTTTAACACTTTTCGTACAACAGACATGTGTGAATTCTTTTTTTTTTTTTGGAACAGTTATGTGTTAATAGTAAAAGTAACATTCATATGTTTGTATCATCACTTTGCCATAACTGGTCTTGTATGTAGACTTGAAATCTTATGGTTTCAGTAACAGTGCAATTGGTAAATAATATGTTATAATTATTTACTGGGTTGTTTGCTATGAGTTTCCAATCTCTGTATTTAATAGAGTCTGTAAAGCGTAACTCCACTGAACAAAACATATATTTCATCTAAGGATACAGCATCATCCCTAAAGATGGTTTGAAATAAAACCTTCAAAATATTGATAAGTCCTAACAACTGCTTTAAATCACATTTTGAATTATACAAGTGGAAAAAATATTTTTATAAAAATCAGAAGTGTAAGAATGGGTGCACCAAAAGTGACGAAACAAGGTAGGAATGAGCATGGTGTAATAAAACTTCCTCACAAGAGGGCGTGTCTAACATCGGGTCCATTGATACTTCATATACATATATATCATCCTGTATACAATAAGCCAGGTGTACTAAACTTATCGAACTCAGTTATGCTTATCATACAATGACTAGAGGTTTCAGTGAATTGAATTATTGGAGGCAATTCATGTATTGTAAAATCTGTTTATATGACACCAGAAGAATCAGATATCTGTGTGGACTCATAACTTGTATGTTGTTTTTTATTTACATCTCGTCCCTCCTTTCGTAATTGCATGAGAAGGCAACAGGATTTCGTAAATTAGCTATATAAGTGGATTAAGATACAAAAATAAAAAATCCTAAGACGTTTCTGTGTATCGACGTCATCATGGATTCGTTACTGTCTTTTCAAAAATAGAATGATCGTAGACAAACTTTTGTATGTATCCCTAAGTTGTATAATATCATGAACACAGAAAAACGAAGCATGGACGGGATGTTGGATACATCCCTTGTGAGGTTGTACACAGAGAGTTTTATGACACCATGCCCATTCCTACCCTGTTACCTCACTTTTTGGTGCACCTATTTCTAAACTTTTATTTTTTGGATAAATATTTTTTCCACTTGTTCATGCACTTTTTTCATACAAGGTGACATGGTCTTATACATCATTCATTCATTTGTGTTGATATCATGTATGTATATAACAAAGTTCGGTCCTGTGTTTTCTACACGTTCCATAAACTTACAAAGTTCAGTCCCGTGTTCTATATACTTAACTTTGGCCCCGTGTTTGCTACACGTTCATCCTATTTTTCTATCCTCAAATATTATTAGACAAGTGAAACTAATTCCAGGTTGTTATTTTTTATCCATGAAAACTATTCTCTCAGATCGAAAACCACGGTGGACTTGACATTCTATTTCAAAGTGTGAAATGTTTACTTCGTCTTAACTTTTGTAATAAACAAACAAACAAAAAAACAGCCATAATTCTTATCTCTTGCGTGAACGTTATAGTTCCTCTTGCTGTTTCACCCGTTAATATGGCAACTGCTTTCACAGAATTACCCGGGTATCCATATAAGGTTGGGTGGCAGCTCTCGACGGAGAGAAAGATGCATGAAATCAGGAAGCATATTAGTGACATTGTTCTTAGAGCCCAAAGTAACGTGTGGAAAGGCTTTACTTCTGTGTTGATAAACAGTTCAAGACGGCCTGCGCTTCACTTTATATAGGTAACAAACAACAAGTAGAGATACTAAACGACCAATGTAAATAAAAAAAATACCGTACGTGTGTTTGCTTAACATAGATTAAAAGAGCTACATCATTTGTCAGCAACTGACTGTCTCAGAATTATAGTATTTTGGCACTTGTGTATAAAGTTAAAATCATAAATAATATTCAATGTTAAACTGGTACACTTTTTTCATACAAGGTGACATGGTCATATGCATCATTCATTTGTGTTGATATCACGTATGTATATCATCAATGTGGGTGTGCACCATAATATTATGGTGTGTGTACACATTGTGAGTGTACATGTGATGGTGTGCAATGTCATTTGAGTGATAGAGTGTGAGTTGTGGTCGTGTACATATACCAAGGGTTGATACATTAGCTAATTAATTAAATCAACTACTTCACGCTAGCATTAGCACGTTGTACTTATAACTATGGTAAGTCTGTTTGTTACACAGCTGGTAGTGTTCAACAATGTTAGTCAGTCAGTGAGACTGAGAAATTTGTGGGTTTGTATCTGCTCTACTGACTTTCTCAAGTGGTTCTATGACTTGTAATTTTGTGTGTGGTTCGTTTATCACCTAAGGGCGTCTCTTAAATAGTTTTGAAGATTTATTATTTGGTTGTTAAAGGTGTATATGTAATTTTGTGTGTGGTTTGTTTATC